CTAACATCTGACTGCTTTCCTTTGTCCTTGCCACTGGACTTTCCACCAGTCTTGTCCTTTTTCGACTTTTCTTGAGTGGTTTTGCCGACAAGAAGGGGGACGCCAGAGGCAATAGAAGAAACCTCAGCTTTGTCATCGTTGTTGGAAGGCATGATGAAATCGTCAGTCCGTAATTGGACTCGTGCGGACTTCGACTTGGATGATTGTAGTGGTAAGAAGGAGAACGAACTGTGCAAGATAGTACGTGGGAAGAGAAGTCTGATTTTATCTGAGAGCAGACGCTTGACAAACCCGTTCTTTAATAACCGTCAAGCTCCTTATCTTCAAAAGTGACACCTAAGGCATTACGACGCTTTGTTTGTTGTGCCGGGTTCCTTAGGCAGCAGTGCAATGCTGACTCAAAGCACAAGGCAGCAACCGCACCGTTTCAGGCTATACGCCCGAGACTCGAATACCTCCTGAATTATTCAGGACATAACTTTGCATTTTTGAGCGCAAGCTCTGGAGCTCGCTTGAAACTCCAAAAGGTGTATTTGAGACTCTGACGAGCCCCTATCTGGCAAGCTACAATTGTGTGAGCTTGGCATGAACACCCAATTGTCTCACGAGCCAATGAAAGAATTTTGCGGCAGACGTCATTGAGTGTGACGTCAATTAGATTCTTTACAGAGATATAGAGATGGAACACATAAGAATTACTCAGTCTCAAGACAAGTAGTGCAAGCCACCATTACAGCAGCAGCGACTGTGCCACTCTAGGTTCCACAATCATCCTTTGTCGACTAGTTTGGTTCTAGCCAGTAGGGTTGTTCACCTAGAGAGCGCCTATAACTTGTGCCCTGAGTCAAAGGTCCCATCGGTATGCTGTTAAACTACTTGAAAGCCGTATTTTCTCGACTTCCCTTAATCAATGCTATACCAGATATCTAACAGTAAGTCAAGTCTTAGCTAGCTAGGTCATTCTAATGTGAATGATTGAAAACAACGATTATGTGCAGGCTGCAAGTTTCTCGTCGTCCACTCCGATTTTCATCCGCATGATTATGTTAGTAGGGGCAGGCTCCATTGTATATATCATCCTTGGGTGGAAGGTTTAACCAACCGACCGACCAACGTCTCCTATTCTGAAAAGGGAAAGAAAACAAAACATTGTTTGAAAGTACAGAGAGGGAGCCTCAAAAATATTGGAGATCAGAACATGGCCTCTTAAGCTGCAGAAGCAGATGCGGGCGGCATGCCGTTTGGTCCCACTAAACTATACCCTGAACACCAAATTCCTCGACAATGGGGCCAAAAACCATATCGAGAAGTTACGAGAAGTCAGGCAAGACTTCGAGTTCCTTCAAAACACCCGGGATAATCCGTACGCGTCTCATGTCTGGGGGTTTCGAATCCATCGCGCAGTGTACAGCCCTGGATTGGACGAGCGATTCGCCACCGATCTCGTCCGCTTGGAGACTTGGGTGCGCTAGCAGGTGCGCCAGTCTCGGTACGACGGCGATCGCACCTTGAGGTCGCAGGCTGCGGACTGTACGCTGGCGGTGGGCGAATGGGATCCGACCAACGAGATGGCGGCGCGCTTCTAGAACAGGGTGGTGGAATATTCCGACACGGATGGCGTACAATCACTGACCCCGGAATCGGCGGCTAGGCCAGAGCATTTCCAGTGCATTGGCCGCGCTTTCATCGACTGGGTCAAATCCACGGGCGTTTATCTGGCAAGTTCCGTCGTGCGCTACAATCACTGCTTGGACATTGAAGGGGTAGCACTTCGAACCCTCGAGGAACTTCCCGCGAACGTTCCCGAGTTCAAGCCGCGTGGTAGATATCTACAGGCTGCGGTTGAATGGCAAAGTGTCGCCAAATAGGTACAATTGGCCTGAACATGAATTCTCGACCGCGATGCCATGCAGAAGCACCTCGAGGGAGGCGCCACGCCAAGAATGGTCTCATTCTCCATAGTCGAGTACGAGATGGTGGCACCTGTTCCACCATGGCTTCGCATGGAAATCTACTGCATTCACCCGCTCTGGTTTCGCCGCGCACGAGCCATGATGACGCTCGACTAGGATAGTAAGTGTCAATGAGACGAGGAGGATCCTGATATAAAACCATGGTGAAGCCTGAATGCTTATTTATCCAAACAGACCAACTACGCGAAAGGTGTGCGCCAAAAGGAAGGACTTTGAGGTGCAGCTCCTTGTAACAATTCTCGTTGGAGCGTATAAAGGCGGGAAGTTTCAAAAGGACCCCAATCTCACATTCGAAATGAAGGCGGGTGATCTACGCTGTAAAGACGCTTCTATATAAGCTACACAAAGCGCACATGTGTCTGCGAATATGATTGCGCCCTCTCCCCGTCGGGACTTGTTCCATCTAAGATGGCTTCTCAGACTGGCCGGAAGCAACCAGTCGTGTCAATCTAGACAGTGTTTGCAATGTTCATCATCTGTGTACTGAGTTGGGGGAGCATGGTCTTACCCCTGCCAGCAGTCAGGTGACTTATTTACTATTACTTACTTCATTTTACTCGCTTCACTTAGCTATCATTACGGAATACAAGAATTGCTACCCCTTTCATTCTCAACACGTTCTTTTTGCCCTGGATGCTTCTTTTTGTGTGTGTGCTATGTGATATCTTGAGTGGGTGTTGGTCAGCAGTAGGCACTGCTGCCCTGTTTCAGTACTAGTAGGATCCATATAATCGCCGTATTTAATAGATCATCCTCCCAGATCTCTGGCATGTCGGAAAGCGAGCTAATAGCCCTTCTTTCAAGCCTTGCTTCGATCCGTGTGAAACGGCTTGTTCACTTATCAAAGTTTCCCACGGCCCTGACCATCGCCCCTTGGTGAAATTGCGCGCATAATCGCCTACAAACTGAAGATCTCTGTAAAATTCTATTAAGAATTGAGTTAGATAGTAGGACTATTTAAGTGGCTTCTTGTAGTATGCCTCCGTATTGCCATGTTCTCTTGTAGCTTTCTCCTTTCCGATTATCGAAGGACGCCACCTCCATTGATTGGTTTCTCGATGTACGGGCTACATATCTAAGACGCAGAAATTGTCGCTCCCTCGTCAAGTTAGCCGACCGGCAGAGACAACATAGGCCTCGCGAAGGTCTGGGGTAGCTACTGTGTTCCCGAACATTGTGATAGTAGCTGTCGTCTGAAAAGCTCACAAAGACTAGCATCAAAGCATTTCGAAGATGAATTCTGGCGTTTATGGGTTGAATAGTTGTGTAAACTGACTCTTTGACTGAAAGAAATATGTTAAGTTTGGATTCGTGAGCTGATGTTGCTGTGCAAAGGCATCTATCTATAAAAGAATACAGTCAATTTACAGTGAGTACTAGAAATATCGACCAGTATAGCAACCTGAATGAGACAACTCAAGCATATCATCCAGCCATGCTGGGGATTGATGATTGGTGACTTGATTACAATAACAATACTAATGACTAGTTGCTGTGTCGACGCTACTTGTGGAGTAATGGACATCCACTTCTTAGACTTCTACTGATCTGAAGCGGGACTGATATCTCATGTTCAAGGTTCGGCAAGCAGCCATGTACCCCTTTAAGCCATAGAACGTATTCCGCAGCTTCATTATCTGTCACTTATTTCCTCAATTAGTGTTGATGCTCTCGCAGCCTGGATGGTGAAAAGTGAGAGCTTTACAACCTGGTGAATGCAAATACATTTGTATTTCAGCGAATTCTAGCGTGAAGGCTTCATGTGTAGGCGTAACACCCTTGATGGGACTGACAAGAGAAAGATAAGCTTTCCAAGCAATGTGGCGGAATGCTTGAATTTACTAATCTCGATACAGGAGGTCATGGTTGTGGGGTATTGCCATGTGTGATTCCATTGCCAACTTGGGACTAGTATTATCAAGGAAGGTCGCACGCACCCTCCCGCTCTACCGGGGTCGGATTGGACAAGAGATCGCTGATAACATTGACTTGTGCACTAACTATTGATTTGGGCGCTACTCTGGGGGATTCTATTCTCTCAGATAGTCAGGTGTTCCCTTGATGATTTGTAGCTACGTAATTCTTATAGCACCTCATCAGTGAACACGCTGACGAGCTTAAGTGACGGGAGGAAGGAGTCAGTTGACTGTTACGCTATGATTTAGGTGTACACATTCGCCTTGCAATGCTAAATTTTCAACAACCTTCTTTGATTTTTGGTAGGACTAGTGACAGTTTCAGTACACAATCAATAAATTTCAACTCAAATTCACCAGAAATTTACTCGAAAGTTCCAAATCTTTGTTCTGATATTCTAACACCCTAGTCAAATCACAAAAGATGAGTGACGTCTATTTTCGATTCATCAGAAGTGAAATGAAAGAAGCTACAACACATCCTCCTCTTCATCATGCCTCATGCCAATGCATTTCCCAGGTTAGCATGCCAATGCAGGTTACGAAGCTTTCTGATCCCACCCTGACCCATGTCGATACCATGTGCTGCAACACAATATTTGGCAACACACTTGCCAATCCCAATATGGCATGTCAATTATACCCTGCACAAGGTCCGAGCTATCTATCGCTAAGGTACTGGCCACAGCCTAGATTCGGTTGAGAAGCAGCTGTGAAGATAGACACAGCTCCGAGGTTGGATAGCTTGCCTGTTATTGCTAAGATAACTGTGATCTCATGCCTGCAACTGATAAGATACCTGCTAATTTCACCACCTACACGCCTATATCTTCGTGTCTTTCCCGTCATGACAGGGTGAAGAGGTTACCCTCTCCTTGCTTGTTCGTCATTGTGCCCTCTGCAGTCAACAAAGGCCAGAATGCTCCTACGCTGTGTGCTCGTCGCAATCACAAGCGGACTTGCGCTTGAGGCAGTTGCTAGTCCTCTCTCTCGCGATGCTGTAAAAGAGAGGAGAGTGCCCAGTACCCACATCCTCCATGAGCGCCATGTACCGAGATTGGTCCGTCATTGGACAAAGCGGGATATGGTTCCACGCTCTGCGGTGTTGCCAATGCGCATTGGCCTTAAACAGATGAATGTGGATGCTGGCCATGAGCGACTGATGGACATGTGAGTACTATTCCTGTATGGCCATTGCTTTGTTTAATCATCCCCGCTAACAATTGACAAAAACAGCTCTGACATGGCTTCTCCAAATTATGGGAAGCACATGACTGCTGAGGAGGTCATTGACTTTTTTGCTCCTCACGAGTCAACTGTCACGACCGTCATAGACTGGATAGTAGGGAGTGGCATCGCAAGAGAGCGCGTTAGCCAGTCGGTTAACAAGCAAGTAAGTCACTTCTCGAAAGAATGCTCTCGCATATGTAGCTTACCCCCGTACTTTAATAGTGGATCCAATTCGATGCCACCGCCGAGGAGGCTGGGGACCTACTTATCACGGACTTTTACGTATGGGAACATGTTGATGGAAGCACTGACGTATCTGCCGAAGAATATCATGTTCCCGCCCACGTTCGGGATCATATCGACTATATCACTCCTGGGACTAGGCTTCGGTCGCGAGCTAAAGAAAGAAGAATGGCTCCTACAGCAGTGGCCGAGAAGCGAGACATCACTGGGCATGCTAAAGCCACCGTCAAAGAGCCGAATGCTGGATCTTTGACACCCCCGGTAATAAACTCCACAAGCTGTGACTATTATATCACTGCGGAGTGTATCAGAAGTAAGTTATAATCAATGCATCTCACGATTCCTATTGGTCGCAGCTGACTAGGAAAAGAACAGTACAATATGCCTAATGGCACGACCGCCGCGGCCGGCAATGAGCTCGGAATCTTCGAGCATCTTGACCAGCATTACAGCCGTGTTGACTTGGATCATTTCTTTGCGACTCTCTATCCGTAAGTCATTGCTCCATGTTGTACAGCCTGTCAGCAATGCAATCGCTTACCCGAGACACAGATACATTCCCTCCGGATGGTACCCCATCGAGGACTTGATTGATGGAGCCGTAGGAGCAGTCGAGGACCCTTCTGAAATTCCGGCATCCTATGGTCTGGAGGCATCCTTGGATTTCGATGCTGCTATGCCACTTATCTATCCTCAGACTGCCGTCCTGTTCCAGGAAGATGACGAGTACTACGAGTCAACTGGTGATTTTGTCGGCTTCTGGAATACGTTCCTCGATGCGATTGACGGCAGTTATTGCACATACAGCGCTTATGGCGAGACAGGGGACTGTGTTGATCCCGCATGTGCTGACCCTGTCTATCCTGACCTACATCCCGGCGGTTATAAGGGTGCTCTGCAATGTGGCGTCTACAAGCCAACCAACGTAATTTCCATCTCGTATGGCGCTTGGGACTACCCGGACAACTACATGAAGCGTCAATGCGACGAGTGGATGAAGTTAGGTTTGCAGGGCGTTACTATTGTTGTTTCGAGTGGTGACGACGGTGTTGGCGCCGATGAGTACTGCTATCCTGGGCCTGATGGCCTCATTTTTGAGCCCACAGAAGCTAGCGAGTGCCCATATGTTCTCTCAGTCGGCTCCACTCAATTTGACCGGTACAATACCTCTGCGCCGCCGACGCCGTGGGAGAAGTTGAACGAGATTGCCACCACTCGCTTTGCTTCTGGTAGTGGTTTCTCCAACGTCTTTGGCGTTCCCAGCTGGCAGAAGTCCGCGATCAATGGTTACTTTGCCCAGGTCGACCTCCCGTTTTCCGCCTATCACCACTACGTTATTGACAATGATTTCACCTCTGTCAAAGGCGGGGTCTTCCACCACGGTGGCCGTGCTTATCCTGACATCGCCGCCATCGGCGATCGCCAGGTCGTTCTGCAGGAGGGCGTATGGTATCGCGTCGGTGGCACGTCGCTCTCGGCCCCTGTGGTTGGCTCCATTCTAACACTGGTGAATGAACGCCGCATTGCAGCGGGCAAGAAGTCCGTCGGTTATCTTAACCCTACCTTGTATGCACACCCTGAGGTCTTTAACGATATCACGGTTGGAAGCAGCCCTGGCTGCAATTCGACGGGATTTGTCTGTGCTTCTGGTTGGGATCCCGTGTCAGGCCTCGGATCGATCAATTACCCGGAGTTTGAGGCGCTTCTTTTGAGCCTTTAATGAGTTACACTAGTCAGAATGGTAGTATCTCAACAGATTTATGTAAGAGGACACTTCACAGAATTTGCCTTGTATAAAACACTTTTGTGATAACTCAAAGGCTTGTTTGAGATGAGATAATCGCCCCCCATGTACAACGGATGACCTAGTATCGTTTCAAAAGGTTGCTTCCAAGTCACTAGACTGCATCCTGAAAGCACATCCTGGAGGCTGGATTTGACGAAGTACTATTTCCCCCTCGAAGAATTGAGCATCGACCAGGGATGACTCCTGTTTACTTGCTAAGCGTTCAACTGAATCTAGGCAGTCCAAAAGTGTTGGCTGCAGCAAAAATAGAGATCGACAAGCTTTCTAGAAGTGTGCTATATACAAAGACCATCATGAAATCCAACTCAACGTATGCCATGATATTGGCAGGTGCCCCAATATTGCAACTACTTTTTAACGTAATCTAGTGCCAGCGAACCATGAAGTTCTTGGCTCGCAAGTCCTTCAGCACAAGCTGGCGCTTAGTATGCAAGATAAGGACTAAACCTACTACCTTGATCTGGACCAAGATCGAGGCAAGGAACGTATGCATGAATTGGCGCATCTGACAAAACATTGTTAGCTCCCTGGAATTTGAAGAGTTTCCAGGTACTCACCATGCAAGTCGATCAAGCTGCCATGGAAGATTCCCCATAACAGACTTTGATCTTGTCATCGTAGAATGCTATTGTGTCTCTGCTTTGCGCAAAGTCGCTGTCGTCAGTCTCTGCACTAGGGTTCTGTTTCCATGGCTGTACTAGCTTCTCTCCCTCCATCGCGGCATGTACCCACGCGGGCAAACTAGGTGTCGGCGACTTATTCTTCGATTTCAGCGACGACCCGGATATTAGTCCGGAAGCGGAAGACGATGGTGACGACGATGTCCCCATAGTTGCTGGGATAAACGCAATGTTTAGTCCAAGCCAGCGTGAGAAAATGTGCACTGGATTTTTGACTGGAGGCCGATTCGACGACAGCTTTGACGTCGAGCAGTCTCTAATGTCCCAAACAAATTGGCCCAAGGCGGCTGTCTATTATACACCAGCCAGTGAGCGCAAGATAAGCACAAATCATTGACCCGGAACAGTCAGGTACTTTAAGGTACCTCCAAGAGACAGCATTCGGCTAGCATTCGGCACCACGCAGTCTGGTGGGGTCCGAGGTGATCCGCGCGCCAAAATTACTTATACTGATGCTACCAGGAGCTCCCCCTTGTTATGACAAGGAAAGCTGGGCGATTCAGGTGGATTGTCAGAGTCAGCTCAGTCGCCAATCTTTGCACTTGAAATTGATATCGGTGCTCTCGTTCCTCTTGCTACTGAAATTCGGATAGAACACAGCCATGGCGTGCGGAACTGTCAACAGCCAGGTCAATTATCTTAAGAAGCTCCCGCTGTATCAGAACGAAAAGCCGTTCCAACTTTTTATCCCTGTAGATGCAGACGCACCAGACCAGCGGACAACCAATCTTGAGTTCGAGTCGAAGGAGTGTACCTTTTCAGACATCAGGGACAGTGTACACTCATATTCTCTAGATACCGACGGATTTCAAGTTCTACAGTTTCCAACTCAGGTCGATCCCCCTTCATTCCAGGACCGGTCTATTGTGGAGTCCCGGTATTTCTCGGAGGTAAAAGATATACTGAGGAATATCGAAGGAGGTTACGATAGGGTCTTCATCTTCGATTGGAGGGTAGACCATCCCCTCTAAGGCATGGCGCTTTTAACTCGTCACTAACATGGCGGTGTAGCTGCGGGATTCCGCAACGCCCCGGTATGGCAATGAGTTCGATATGAATGATCTTACAACGTGGCTCCGGCCCTCACCAACTGCTCATGTGGGTAGGTGCTGAATCGTCTTCGCGTCTTCTTTCGGTTTGCAGCATAGTCTTTCTCAACCATTTTGCGTCAATATTGTTGGCACATATCTAATATTATTACACCCCAAGATCAAAGTGATCGTGCAGTGCTGCATCGAATCCAGCTACATCTTCCAGATGATGCGCTCTTCTTGCTACAGGGAAGAGTCAGGATAATCAAGTAAACTCCCTACTTAAGGATTACTCTGTCCATTCACACTAAACCACGAGACAGTGTCTGGCGTCCATTGGAGCATATCGTTCAGGATAGCCCTCTTGCATTTTGTGACCCAGCATCGGTTTCGGACGAAGACTTGGTCGAATGCGATCACATTCGGAGAAAATTTAAAGGCGCCAACCTTTATTCATATTTCAACAACGCTCACGACTGGCGATATCTCGGTCAACAGCGACCGGAAGAGGTTTTATTGCTGAAGATGTTTGACTCAGACACCTCGGTTGCAGCTAGAAGTAAGTGAACGCCGTCACTAACTGCACAGAATAACAAGATTGATATAATTAGAACTCCTTCATGCGTCATTCCGCCATCCTTTTGCCTCTGCAAAGTCACAGCCCCGGCGAAGCATTGAGGTTCGCGCTTTAGTCTTCAACTATCCCACTTTATAGCAAGCCTGTAGATGTTCAAGAGGCGATATTGCTGAATCTTTCAAATATTGGGGCAGTTGATAAAACATCATAGCTTCACAGACAGTTTCTCATGATCCGGTCACCGACCGACACCCTGCGGGTCGTTCGATCTCACGCTCCTGCGTTTTCTCTTTTTATTCCTCCGAATTGTGCAACATAGCTCGCTTACGTGCGAGTGTAGTGTAAGAGACTTGGCAGATTCACATGGAAGCTGATTCGCCATGCTTTCGGTGACCGTCGGAACAGCTTGTAGATACTCGTCCAGTGCAGGGGGGTTGATCGATATATCATCATCTCTCATGGCAAGATTTGGAGCTGTAAGTTGCATTTTAGCGACAGCTAACTTGATGATGAAAAAAAACAAGGCTTGTCATAGAATTTCGTCCTTCGACTGTGCTAAGTGATTTGATCAAGATTGATTTGATCACGGATGATTGCGGAACTCGTAGATTTCATGACGGGAAGAGCTTCTTACCGCTTTACATGGCTAGACCCTAAGCCGATCTCACCCTCGAACTATATAGACATGGCTGTCTCGACTTTCCTGACTGGAACTATTTCGACTGAGGTGGGAGATCAATAATTGCACATCTTTCCATGCTTGCTGAGAGCCAGTCAACTCAACTCAACAGCTGTCTAGAACCCTGCCGTCTCACCTAGGTGAGAAGTTGCTTTGCAGCATGTGTGCAAGTCATGAATTTCAACATAACCACAATTGTGTCCATCCATTCCGTTTCTTGACCAGTTTAGGCGCGGTGTTACTTAGTTTCCTCTCACTCGATTACTTAGGTCGGGCGGGCTTAATGGGATATCGGATGTCTGGGCTGCATTGACGAAAGTACGAAAGAGGGCAAATGGATGTGAGTGGGTTGTATTCTAGATTAGGGTATCTCCTTGTACCTCCGAGTAGGATGACTCTAATAAGAATTTTGACCATACACCTAGTTGACATGGACTGCCTCTCGGAGTCTAGCTTACAAATAAACGTGGGTACTTCTTTGGGGGAAAGGGGTTCAATTAAATAAGGATTATATCATTGTTCACAGCTTCTTGTGCTTTGATAGGAGACGTACATATAGAAGCTTGGGCTGCTTAAGGTACAGTTATCGGACATAAAAGCGCCCGTAACAGAAAGCCTTGCGGTGGAATGATTTATCTTCTTAAGGATTTAGATCTCAATATTACAATCATTGTATGCTGCTAGATAGCGTGTTTGTTGGAAACCAGCCAAACAAGCACACTCTCTCACATAACCTTGCTCATATCAATGTTTAGATGTAAAGCAGCCAGAAAGTTCTGAAATAAATGATTCTCCTCTGCAGAGGAAGCCTCTTTGTTATCTGATTGTGGTTGGATCCTCGGGAACAACCGCATACTTTATTTTCATGTTGTGTCGTGGCTCATGCTTGGAGCACCCCCGCCGTCACCCTACCGAAGTTTCAGGCGGTGGTCTGCCGTAAAGGTCTCCTGCGCCTATACTTCGACACGACCGTGGGGTCCTGAAGACCACAATTGTGGTCGTGCTCAAGCACAATGTGTTCATGCCACACAGTCGCTTTCTATTGGCCAGGAGGTGCTTGTACATTCAAGTATCATTTTGGCGAGAAAGACCGGCATGTATGGCTTGGTAACATGTGTCGCATTAGGGCAATTTATGCTAACAGGTGCATTAGACTGTTCTGGATGATTCGTCTCGGCTAATTGTAGACTCCAACACGCTCCTTGATAGTCAGTCTGACATTTGTTTTCGGTTCACCAGGGTTTGATGAGGGCAAAGGAAAGGAAATTGTACGGTGCCAGGTATCCTCGTCAAAAGGCATATTTCATGACCTCCATTTGCATAAAGAACTCCGTGGTCTATTAGATTCTGTGCTATCAGTACATTGCATGTTTCTATCTTTGCAAGGACGTTCGCCTCTCGCGCGTCAATATAGAAGTGGAAACCATCCCGAAGCCATTATTATTAATATTCTGTATGAGGATGTTGTAAGCTAGCCCCTTCAAAAACCATTCTTTGAAGATCTTCCGCGGTTATTGGAAGATCCCAGCCATCTGTTATGTTGAGGTTGGCCAACAACTCGCCTTCTCTTTGAAAAGATTCAGAACTGGAAACGAAGGACGATGGCGCTGTAAAGTCTGATGACATAGTTGCTGAATATTGGTCCCCAGCGTCGTAACCGATGTTTCCCTGTGGCGCTGGGGTCATCTGGTGATTTCTTCTGCTTAAGCTCCGCGTAGAAGAATCTAACGTGTTCGATTCTGAGCTTGCGAGACCACCCAAACTAGTCCACTCATCAAAGATTGCCTGAATGGCATCTCCTAGCACATGACGTTGAAAAGCTTGCACATCGGCTTCGTCATTCGGTGGATGCCAGGTTACAGCTTGATTAGCATTCAAAACGTCGCTGATGATTCGAGGCCCGCGAGTCTTTGAGAATGATTGAAACTCAATTACGTTAGACAGAA